TGAACCTGCAAATTATGTGGACTTTATGGAGAATAAATGTCATATATATGTTGTTTATTTCATATGTTAATTCAATTAATAATCCCATATTCATATGACAGGAATATTCTATATTCAATTGAACATTGCTCTGTCCAAGTCGACACATCAACATTGGCTCAACCAGTTATGTGATCTCTTTGGAAACAGTCATTGTTTTGTGACTATAGTAATGCATAGATTACACCCTTTTCCTTTAAGAGTTACCAGAGATCACATATTTTGAATTATTAGTATTTGTTCATATATTTCCATATTTTTGATTACCTTTAATCTATTCTTGTCTTCTGGTTCAGGCGGCCTGTTCTCTTCACCTGAGGTCCCATTGTCCTGTGTGCAATAACAGTTTGAAACATTACAGAGGATGCAAGGCACTGATTTGACCTTTGACCTTCACCTCTCATTCTACTGTTGAATGAGAATAAAGGTGACAACTGTTACAAACTTGACAAAGGATTCATCCACGTACCCTCATAGACTGAAAGGAGTGTATTTAAAATGTATGTATTTACTTGAAATTACAATCTTTTTTTTTTTATTCTAAATGGAAGAAAACCTGTCACATAAGATTATGTAACAAAACATACCAGTATTATTTTAGCATTATTTATATACTATTATAGTATTTATTAATATTTTGAATTAACTTTTTATATTTCCAGTCCTCATTTTCATTTTACTTTAGGTTTTAGTGATTTTGTTATGTCTTTTGTCACTTTTCTTAATATTTCTAATTAGCCTTAATTTATTATTGTTTCAGTTTTAGTTATTTTAGTACTTCGACACTTATTTTATTTCAATTACTTGCCAAGGCAACATTTCTCATTTCTCTTTATGTTTTTTAAGTTTAAGTTTTCCATCTAATATTTACGTTTTATTTTGTTTCTGCTTTATTTCAATTAACGGAAATTATTTTTATAGCTTTAGTTTTAGTTAACATTTACAACACTGTAACATACATAAGCACCCAAATATATACAATTCTGTATTTTATTGTTACTGTTGTATTTGTTATCTGTGATCAGTTCAATCCAGTGGGTTTAGTTTGACAGAGATCTAGGTCCTCTGGGTCTAGTAAACCTTCTTACACTATATAAGCTTCAATCACACTTAGCAGATTTAAACACTCTATATGCTACACAGTTTGTAAATCACAGCAGACCCTCAAAGGATTAAGTGAACGTCTTTAGATCAGAGTGTCATTGTTTTACCAGTCCAGAGGGTCTCTGCCAGATATTAGATTAAATTATTATAATTTTGATCATATAGATGATTAATAATATGCTGTCCATTTATTAACAGACCTTTTTCCAGTATGAGACATATTTACTATAATCAATAGACTGTCACTGCAGTTTAAAGTCTCCCTCTCAGGTAGAGTGTGAACACAGAGATGTTATGACAGATTATCAAGTGTTGATCTCTCTAAACCCCTCTCTCACCACAGCGTCTAAGCTGAGGGATGTTCAGGATGAAGAAAGGAACTTGTGAAAATGACCACACAGTTTTATTATGTGACGGGATAGTGTCACTAATACAGATGGGGCTGTCACAGTGAGCCAAATGCACCTGCTCCAAATACCTCGCTTGCTACAAGACAACTAATTAACAATGTCTGGCCCCAGCAGACACAAGAGATCCTTTTCATTTCTGTTTATCAAAGGAAAACGCAACCCATGCGTATCTGCTCAATGAATAAACATAAGTGACTCACATTCACATTCACCTGAGTGGGATGCTATTATAGCTCTGCTATCACAGATCTGAGCAGATATTATAGCAGAATAAATGTTCCTCATCGCTAGAAGGCTTACCACTGCAGAAACTGTCAACACTATCCAAAACCAACAAATTGCTAATTGCTATCATGCAATCCATGTTCTTGAAATTGTGCATCATAGCACTAATAATGCACAAGGTTGTGGGTTCGAATCCCTGTACTAATCAAATGTATTTATTAAATACACAATTGGTCACTTTGAATAAAAGTATATGTTTAGTGAATAAATGTAAATAATATGATGCTATTTTTTGTACAATTTATTAATACAATTAATACACCTATTTATAAATACACTTGAATACACCTCTTCTATGATGAATATATTTTTAATTTGTGTATTAAGAATAATTTTGAGTCAATTTCAGTCTAATACAACTGTATAACGGCATAAACTTTTATTATTTATTCATTTAAAAAATCAGATAATTTGGCCCTTTTATAACAAGTTTAGTTTAGGTCATGAAATGCGATGTGATTCACCAAAAAACTCCTATGTGAATATTAAAGGCAAAAATAATGAGGCGTACCTTCTCAGGCTCTTCGACCTCGATAACTTTGACTATGTTCTTGTGTTTCCTGAGTTGAGACTTAAAGGCTTGCTCTATCTGAACATTGTACTTCATGAAGACAACATAGGTAGCATAACCGCACACCAGCATCATACTCTCCCACCACATAATGGTATTGTCCAAGAAGAAGATGATGAGCATGATGAGATCGATGATATAGAACGACACATCCCGAAAAAGAGGCCACCAGGTGAGGTGAAGCATCTCCCGGGAAAACAGCGCACACATTCCAATCACAAATAGGATGTTGAAGACAGCCGAGCCAACGATGGTTCCAATGCCCACATTGCTATGAGAAATGAAGACTCCAATCAAGGAAGTGAAGAGTTCGGGAGCAGACCCTCCAGCGGCCATGAACGTCGCCCCGGCCACATCATCTGAGATCTCCAGTTTGTCTGTTATAACCCCCAACGTAGGAACGAAAAACTCATCGCAGACGATGGCCAAAGAAGCAAACATGTATACCATTCCAAAGATGTGAAGAACGACCCAGCCATTGCGTCGATCCTCAATGGAGAAGATGTCCTCCGGGTACTCGCCCTTCATGTGTGGTGCCCCTCCAGGTCTGGACGCTGTAGTGTTGGGCACTACAATGGTTGTATCGGTTGCTGGTGTAGGAACTGGGGTGGGTTTTGGAAGGTCTGGATCCACATAGATGCAATGGATGATTGTCCTGTTTGTGGTTGTTGTAGGTGTCTCTGTTCTAGATATTGTTGGGATGGGTACATCTGTAGCTGGTTCTGACGACTGGACCCCACCTGTGTGGTTGGAGCTCTTTGGCTCAGCAGTGGTCAAATTAGTCAAAAGCACTGTTATCTCTGACCCTCCAGAGCCAAGTTCAGAGCCATCCTCAGGTTCTCCTGCTGTCTGGGGCTCAGACCAGGGTTCTGGTAGTCTGGCTCTGATAGTGAGTTGATATAAAGAGCAAAGGAAAACCCCAGACAGAAGAAATATAATCCGGCTAAGGTGAAGTCTCTTTCTTCGAGGAAGGAACATTTTCTAGTATGCTTCCTAAAGGGCACCAAGTTGTTTTTTTAGGCCAATGACACCCAGAACATCCCGAACTTTCCCCCCAAAAAATGCAGGGGTATGCAGCACTCACTTTCAGACTGTTTCATCTCATTTTCTCTGTGGTACGGGTTTCCTCTCACAGACCTTACAGTGGATAAAAGGAGGAATACTGAGTGCAACAGTTGTATAGGAAACACTGAATGCAGGATCAGCAGATTACAGTGGCCATTACACTCCTAAAATTGTTCATCTAACCAACACACTGCATTGGATTAAATTAAAACAAAAATGAAATAATATTTAAACAACTCTAGCTTAAGATTAATTGCATTGTTAGAAGCATGTGAACTGATTAAAATGTGGATCCAACTTATTACGATGGTCAGAAATAAAGAAAAACCTGAGCTTGGGGCAAAATGCCACTTAAAGTAATGAAATGCGCCTAATCATCAGTTATTCAACTTTTTATACATTTCATTCACATCTATCTATCCATCTGTCTATATGTCTGTCTATCTATCTATCTATCTATCTATCTCTAATTCACATAAATTAATAGCACACCATGTGTTATATAGCCTAGGAAAAACGCCATAATAAAAAATAAAGGTGCCCCTGTTTCAAGAGATATTGTCCCTTAATAAAAATAAAAACTTTTGACACTGCTTCTGAATGAATAAATGATTAAGAAAAGCATTTCTTGAAGCATTTCTATCATTTAAGTCTATACGAAAATAGCATGGAAAATATCCGTCTCATTTCTATTAAAGTTTTTTGTCAAGCCTATACATATATTACTAATAACATTGTGTCATTATAAGAAGCTCCACAAAAACAATGAAAATTACGTATTTTGTAACACAGTGGCATAACCAATAAAATGTAAAGTGTGACCAACTGTTTGGTGGCGGCAGGTATTTCTATATCGGCCATAAATAAACCATATTAACAAAGAAATGTATATTAAAACTTGCTTTGCTCTCATGCAAGAAATAATTCACAACACGCCAAATAAAACCTACCGGTTGAAAGACGACGCTCGCGGCGGTGCGTGGAGCGCTGCTGTCTCACAGCTGGGCTGCAGGGAAAGGCACGGATGCTGGGAGCGCTGCTTAGGTCAAGCAGGACGCACCGCAGGACAGCTCTTCAGCGTGGATCAGCACAATACCTAATGCCTGAAGTCTTTTAAGAGGATTAGATGTACTTTCTCCTCACACTCTCATTACGTCTTGAACCATTTATCCCAATTATTTTACTCTTATACGTTTCATAAAGAATTATAGAAAGTGAATACACGCGTAAACTTGCTAATTAAAAATATAATCTGAAATCTTAAATCAACTTTTGGATAATAGTTTATTATTATTACATAATTATGGTTATGTATTATGGATTACAGATTAATATTAAATTGGTCCACAATGAGATTTTTAACTGATTCTAACAGGTTTTGTCCACAGCATTATCCTAGATATGTACGTTTGTGTATTGGCTATCTCTTGTATTTTTTCCCGTTTATTTTATTAGATAATTTATATTAAGATACAACTTTTAAAATATAATTTTCTCTAGCTCGTTCTCGACTAGGAACTAGTTAGCAGGTTCCTTTTGTTTCCAAACGGTCCGGTTATCACGGTGCACACTTGGTTAAGAAGAAGGGATTTCAGCGATGGGTAAAATTGTTACATTTTGTTGAAATATTCAAAAGTTGGTTTGCATATCTAACTTACGAGTTGTATTCGAAAATATCTACTGAATTTAAAACGTTTATAATCATTCTGAGTCAAATTTACAGTGCGAACGTTTGGCAGGACACTGACATAGCAACATTCATATTTACTTTGGTTGTTCTGTAACATGAAAAATAAATGAAAAAACTGTGAACGTACGTCTAAGAAACTCCAGTTTTAAACAGCCTAAGATTTGATGGTCTCCCAGCCTGGTCAAGCAGCTCTGGTTTTAGAGGGGTTTTGGATTCTGTAAACTGGTCAGAATGGGAGACCAGCTGGCCAGGAATAGTTAGGCAAGTTTAAACCAGCAAAGACGAGCAAACAATCTTAGGCTGGTTTACTTTATTTATTTTTTCTTCAGCAGAGTGCAATAATAACAAAACCAGGGAAAATATTGTATATGTGCGTTTTCAATTAACCAAACGTGCTTGTGATGTCCACTGCAGAAGCCTCTTTGCTCACACCGTCATATGCTCCTGTTTTACACAGATATCTCAAGCTTTCATTCATAACTGTTCTTCAAAGTGTAAAGAGAAGAGCTTGCTACCATGCCCACTGTGGTTCTTATGGACTCGTCGCTGTCCATGACACGACCCGTGTCAGTGGAAGGCAGTGAAGAGTTTCAGAGAAAGAACCTGGCAGTTCATGGACTGACCATGCTGTTTGAACACATGGCCACGAACTACAGACTGGAGTTCACTTCACTTGTCACCTTCTCCTCCCTCTGGGAGCTTATGGTGCCCTTTACCAGAGACTACAATACTCTGCAGGTAAAAACAGACCAGTTGTCATGCTGTCTACATAAAATATAAGTTGTCTGGTCTCTTATTGTTATCTCTCATCCAATGTTTTGCAGGAAGCCTTGAATAACCTTGAAGACTATGATAAAACCTGCCTAGAGGCTGCATTGCAAGGTGTTAGTAATATAGTACAGCAGGAATGGGGAACCTCTTGCCCATGCCAGGTAAAAAAAACAAAACATTGAAAATACAATATATTATGGAAAATGCAATATTGTGAAGCATGCAAATACAGTACACTCAGGGGCGCATTAATGCACCGGCTTTAACGGGCTGAAGCCCAGGGGGATACACTGGGAAGGGGGCCCACTGGCTGCAAGGAAATTATATTTTTTCGAATAATTATTTGAATATATGGGAATTTGCAGCAGTGACAACAGCGTTTTGTAAACAAACTCACACACTTATTTTCAGCGATGCCCTGTTTGTAGTTTATAGTGAATGGTTCAGTTTAAGTTTCCCTCACGCAGTTTGTATAGTTGGTATGTTCCATGTATTCCACCGATATACTAGCGGAATACACAATGCATGCGCTAGTAAAGCCCAGCACGAGAGTGTCTTTATGTTAACGTGCAGATCAACAAGAAACACAACACTGCTGTGTGAAAGGAGCTGGACCGGACAACTTTCTGTAATGTCATACAGTGCGAGTTCAGACTTGCGTGAATGAAATCTGTGTGTCAGCTGAAGGTTTTAGATTCAGTCACTGTGTTCCAACATGCTGCTTCAGAGTCTCAATCTCAAATCTGGGGATGGAAGAATAGGAATCATCCTATTGTTTAAATGAGATCATTAAACTTTGAACGGCTATGATTGAATTAATTAAGCGCAAGCACGGCACGTTTCAAAATAAAAACGCAGTTGGCAATCACCAAATAGCTCACATTTATGCCAACTTGCCAAGTGTTGTTTTGATCTACTGATGATGAATAATGAATATTTTGTGTAATTTATGGTGTTTAAATCATACCTGTAAACTCACATTT